AAGGATCAGAGTGTTTAAAATAGGTAATCTCCTAGTAGATTGCAGGTATGGCAGCTAGTGTAGAACCTGCTATGCAGATGAACTACTTAAATTAGACAACCAAAAGTTGTATATATGGCTAGTTGTATACTCATCTTGTACAAGTTATGTAATTATAATTAAAAATACAATAAAGGCAATAGCCACCAATAACTACGGCCTTAGCGAAAGCAAAAAAAAAATTATATATATTCACTGAATATTCAATGAATTATTTGATGAATAAATTTAATATTCAAATATTCAATTCAGTAAAAATTTATTTATTCGAATATTTGAATATTCAATGAATATTTAAATATAACATTCATCGGATCAGACCTTTAGCTCAAACTTTTAGCTCAGATGGTATACCAGTTAGGTATATATGGGAGGTTAGTTGGGAATTTCAATATGACAGAACAGATGATCAAAAGGTTTAAATGGATAATCTTCCAGTAGGTTATAGATATGGAATTTAGTGTAGAACCTTAGAGTGAACTACTTAAATAGACAATTAAAAGTTGCATATGTGACTAGCTGTACTCTCATCTCTGTAAAAATAGTTGTAATAGCTAACCCAATATAGTGTTTGGAACTGGTTTTATTTTTTTTATGTTAAAACTGGTTTTAATTGGATTTAATATAAGAAAATAAAACTAGTTCTAAACTCTAACCCGATATAAAGTCAATAAAGTATTGCCACAAGTATGGCCTTTAACATAAAAAAAAAAAAAAAAAAAAAAACACTTACTTCTGTATGTTTTGAGTTTTGAAAAAAAAGTTATTCTAGCAGATGTAATTTTTCAAGAAAATTTATTATTAATACTTTGATTATTCAAACAAGCTATATATAATTTATATATCAAATATATAAAATAATGATCATTTTACTATTATTAAACTTGTATAATAATGAAGTTGTCTATCCTGTTAATTATATATCCCCTAGGTACTACAAGTAATTTTTCTTAAAGGTTTATTATTTTTTAAACCCAAGGTTTTTCCAAGTTCTGAAGAGAATTTGTTTAAAAAGTTTATCAATTTATAATTATTTTTGCTTTGTTGATATATTATTAAGATTACCATTATATCTATTTAACAATTCTGCTTAAATACTAATAAATGTGTTAATAAAATTAAACTAAAGTAGTAAAATAATTTCACTAGCATTCTAATTACTAAATTACTCTAAGGTTCTTAATTTGAAGTAAAAATAAAATTTAATATATTAAATTTGATTAGTTTTTGAATTTAGTATTATTGGCTAAAAATAGAACATGTATTCAGATTTTATTATTATTCTAAATGAAATAAAAATCTTGATATTCAAATTTATATTATTTAAAAAAAACAAAAAAAAAGCTTGATCATGTCACAAATCTAATATTGATAATATATTAGTAATTGATCTAAATAATATAAACAAATAATTAAGTAAATTTTATTAGAACAAAAATTCTAATAGTATTAAAAGAAAAATCAAAAAATCTATCAGGCATAAATATTTAATTATAGCAATAGCATAAAGCAGTTTTATAATATGTTAATCTGAAGCAAGGTCTAAGTATATAGTACAAGTATTTTAAACAAGATGAATTAAAATGTTGTCTCTTAATATAAGTTTTATAATAAAAAAAAGATATTAATTCTATTTTTATAAACATGTTCAGTTTCAAGCTTTCTATCATTAAATCTTAGCAAGGTTTTGAAAATAAATAAATGTTCTACTTATATTAATATCCAATTTTAAGCTTATTTGTATAATAATAATTTACTATATTTATTTCAAGAATGTAACCTATTTGCTATTTAACTAATTTTTTTAGTATTAAATCTTTAGTGATTGGGTATTGTTACAAAATAAAATTACTCAAAAGCAAATATTGTTTATTTTGTTTAATATGCATTTTTAGGTTTAGATAAAAATTCCAATTTGAAAAAGATCTATTAATTCAGATTTTACTCTATTTCTATTATTAAAAACATACAAATAGATAAATATATATACTAACCAAATATGCTTGAAATGTAACAAAACCTAACCTGTAAATTATTATATTTATTTCTGTAAGATAACTTATTAATCTAAAAGAAATAAACATATATAAATACTGAGAAATAAATTATATTCTACATATGAGATCTTTGCTAAAAAACCTAAAAAAAAACTTAGATTCTAAATAGTAAATCATATAACTCAAATTTTAATTTTTAGTCTTAGTAATATTTTTATTGTATAAAAAAAATCTAGAAATAATGATTCAAAATTTTATGCTTGCATGTTATAAAAATTTAACTATTCAAAACTTATAAAATTTTTAATATTTTATTAAAGTATTATATATGTTACTAATTAGAAGTAAAGATGGATTTGGTTACAAATAATTACAAATATTCATGATTGATTTTCTAAAAATAAAAAATTATTTCAATTTTTAGAAAATTGATTATAAATATTTATGACTGTTTGCAATCAAATTTATTTTTAATTAAAAGCAACCACTGAATAAAAGCAACCTTCTAAAATTTGAAACTAAAAGTTTGACAAGGTTGTTATATTCTACTAATAAAATTAAACTTGAATATAAGCAACCACTTCACTTGGCTTAAAAAAAATCTTATTTTTTTGTAGCTTTTATTCTATAATATGTAGTATTTTTATTTTTTTATTATATATAAAAGGTTAAAAATATTTGTTGTAATAGCAATAAAGAATTAAAAAACTAATATAAATAGAAGTATATACAACAACAAATTGTCAGATTTGTCAAGGTGAGAAAAAAAAAACCTAATTACACATGATAAATTATAATAAACAAAAGAATTTATAGAAGTAGTTCAAAAAGTATCAGTAGCAACAATATGAAATAAACTTAAAAAAAAAAAAAATTTTATCACAAGTATTATATAAAACATTTTTTAAAAAACAAAAAATAAGAAAATTAAGAACAAAAAAATACTAATAAAAAGAACTTATTAACATTGAAGATTAAAAAAGAACTTAAACAGTTGTTAAACAAAAATACAATACAAAAGTGTATAAATATAATAATAAGAACAATATAAAACACCTTCTATAACTAAGTATAAAAAATTTAATATAAAAAAGTATAAGAATAAAAAAAAAACTCCAATATAACAAAATAAAAAAGATATCAAAAAAAAAAATAATAAAAAAAGTAGAAAGTAAAATATCAAAAAAAAATAAAAATAAAAAAAATGAAAAAATAAAATAAATGAAGAAAGAAACTTTTAAAACAATTGATATATTTGTTACAAAAGAAAGAAGGTTTTTCTGATATTATTTTAAGTAATTAGACAAGCAGTTTATCTCTAACTAAGATAATATAACAGATTGCACTTAGGTATCATTAGGATGGCCAAATGAAGCTAAACTTATGTATTGAGAAATTCTATGTAATTATGTATGTATATAATTTCAAGAATCTTAATAAAGTATTAATGTAACTGCTTAAGGTTAAAAAAAAAACAAAAAAAAAAAGAATAAAAAAATATGTAAAAATCCTAAAAGGTGTTTGAAAATTCTCTTTTTTTCTTTCTAAAAATTTCTTATAAATACAGATTGAATTGTCTATTGCCAAAGTAGTTCATCTAATTCGTGCCATTCCCGCCATACACAAAAAAAAAAAAATTAATAAACCCTTTAAATTGTATTTCAATAAAAAAAATAAAAAATAAAAAATATAATAAATACGTTCTTTAAAGCACGTTTACATACTACCCGAATACATTTATGATGCTCCTTAACTATTGCCCTAGACCCGTGCCAAATTGCTCCGCTTCTGGATATGTCGAGGAACGTTATGTGGCATATCCCCTCTTCTAGCGACAATTTGTCGCTTCTTTTTGGGGTTTGGTGTGTGTATTGGTAACCGTGAATCCACCGTAACAGCAGGAAGGAAGGTCGACCCCAAAATCCAAACATTATGGTGCATTTGCGAAATGCCCCAAAATTTGAAAAATTTGACTAATATGTAAATATAGATTTCACAGAGTTAATCAACATTCCCCAAGTTATGATGCGTAATTTTAATAAATTCCTAGGTCTAATGAGATGCGTTGGGATGGGAAGATAGGCTAGCCTGTGGGGAAAATGGGCTAGACTTGTTATCGGTACAGATCAGAGATCCAAAAAACTTTTTCGGGGATTAACATTGATTGATTTTTAATATATAATTTGGTAATCAAAATCTAAATTTGGGACCAAATGATTGAATTTGGTGACCAATTGTTTGCTTAACGCGCCGTAATGACTAGGCAAAAAAAGTTGTAATTGTCCCATTCGGGTTTGGTTTGCATCGCTACCTCCAGTATAGTGTAGGTTTTTAATCGGTGGAATCAAGTATGCCCAAATTGTTTCTTGAGTTATTTTACTAGTATATAGAACGAAAAGTATATTTTTTTGGTCACGATCAGTGTTTAAAATCTATATGCGGAATCTGCGGTGCGCAGATTGAAAATTAATTCCGTAAGTAAAATTTCTTTGAATCTGCGGATTTTATGTGTCATATATGTCACGTATTATTTTTTGAATTTTTATTATGTTTACATATCGATATTGAAACAAAATCGAATTTTAAACACTTGTCACGATTCGTTTCATGGTACGTATACGATTTGCTGGGATTATCCGTGTAACATTTCAATTGGCTATAAGTGATCTTCAGATCAATTGAAAATTGTAATTTATTCGATTCGTGTCAAACTCAATTTGATTTCCGGGGCAATTTTAGCCCTTTCTATCAAATTATGGCAAGATCACGATTCAGACCATGCATCGATTTGCATAATGGTCAAGTAAAACAGATCGTTGGTGGTTCTCTGAACGAAGAGAATCCACATGAACTTTTGACAAATTTTGTGTCTAGGTATTTAATTTATTTCCATTATCCTTAAATCTTCTTTTTGATTAATTTATGATTTTATTAAATATATAGCGAAAGGCCAAGTTATTATGCCGAGCTTTACAAGCGATATAATTTAATGGGTGCTCATGTTATTAAACTTGGTTCTGGAAATGATGAAGCTGCCAAAGAAGCTCTGAGCGCATGGCCCGGTATGAATATTTTTTCCATGATATTAATTTAATTTGGTCAGCATGTTATAAATGTTTGCGTTTTGAATTAAGAATAGGTGGTTTGCAAATTGGTGGTGGAATTACTCTCGATAATGCTATGGAGTGGATTAACGCTGGTGCTGACAAGGTAATTATGGTCTCTTAATCATACATATAAAGATTGTAAGCTTTAATTATATTCTTATAGGTAATCATTACTTCGTACCTTTTTCCCGATGCAAAATTTTCACTTTCTCGATTACAAGAATTTTGTGATAAAATTGGCAAAGAAAGGATTGTTGTTGATGTCAGGTGTGTTAAATGCATTATAAGTATTTCTAGGGTTTAATATATCCATTGAGTTTAGCATGTAAATAGTTGTAGAAAGCGGGGAAATAAATGGATTGTGGCTATGAACAAATGGCAGACTATTACTAATCTGGAGGTTAACAAAGGTATTTATTTTATTAATAATTGATTAAAATTGTTATTCTGTTGACCTCTTTTTGAGACTATCTTAAATTCTTTAATTTTCTATTGCCTAAAGAATCGCTAGATCTATTGTCTAATTATTGCAGGTTTGAATACAAGAAATGCTTTCTAATTCTACAAACATATTTACTTAGTATTAATTTCTTTAATATTTCTTTAACATAGTGAATTCTTAATACATGCAGCAGATGTTGAAGGGTTATGTCAGGGCATTGATACTGAACTTGTTGAATGTGTGTTATATAGTAATATTTTTATTAATTGGTCGGATAAATACCTTTATTAAATTATCTATAACATATTAATTTTGATAAACGAAGGTTTAGGAAAATGGACTACAATACCTACAACTTATGCAGGTGGTGCAAATTGTAAGAAACATCAATTAATATAAAATATCCAATTTGTCGACAGAAATAATAATATAAATTTAATATTTTATAGCTATCTCAGATCTTGAATTGGTTAACAAGTTATCTAATGGAAGGGTGGATTTGACATTTGGAAGGTATTTGTTATTTTATTATATACAAGCTTTAATGAATCTCCTGCAGTATTGGTGACACTGCACTATGATCAATTTATTAATGATACCATTTATACTGCAAGAGACCGCTTCCATAATTATATCTGAACATAAAAGAAGTTGACCATTTTTTTATACGATTTTAATCATATGCAGTGCTTTAGATATTTTTGGTGGTAACAAAGTGAAGTTCGAAGATTGTGTTGCGTGGAATACAAAAAATTAATAAGTTTAAATAGAATTTAATAAATTTTTACTAAATATATATTATTTAAATACGCAAATATTAATTTAAAATTAATATTTATATAATAAATTAACATTTTTTTTTAGTGCCAAAAAAATTATTAAAAATTTTAATTATATATATTGATCGATATATAAAGTATATGAAAATTTCTAAATTTACACTAGTGTATGTACACTAGTATAATTTGTAAATCCGTGTAACACAAAATTAAGAAAACAAAAATTAATGTTTAAGGTTTGGGTTAGGGTATAATTTATACGTACTAAAATTTTACGGTTTTATTAGCAAAGTTTTAAGTTATATACATGTTGTGCCTCAGACTAACGCCTGCCTCAGATCACAACTGACGCACCTCAGATGTAGATTGTTAAGTGAGGTGCGTAACCTATTGATCGGTCAATATATATAGAAATTATTGAAGATTGAACGTGCTGAAAAAAACTTAAAAAAGAATATGCCGCGAAAAATTTAGGCAAAAAAAAAACTATTTGTATAGAGAAATAATGTGCATATTAATGGGAAATAGAATGTGCCGACAAAGAAATTCAAAAAGAACGGAGGTGCTGAAGAGACATATTTAATGTAAAAGAATGCTACTTTTGGTTTAAATACCAGAGATTCAAGAATGCTAATGGAGTAAGATGATTCCAAATATATAATACTATTGGAGTTAAGAAAGGCACCAAAGTGATTTAAGTAAAGAATGTTACCAGTGAGAAAACGGCGAAGAGATCCAAGAAACCGAGAATAAGAGTTCCAAGTAAAAGGTCTTATTCAATTTATTTACTCTTTCGTCAGATCGCGGCTTAGATGACATTACGCACCTCACCTGGCGATCTGCATCTGAGGTGCATCAGCTGTGATCTGAGACAAGCGTTAGTTTGAGGCACAACATATATACCTGTATTTCATACACTAGTGTATGTAGTAATAATTATAAAAAAAAAATAAGGTCATGCAAAATTAATTAAGAAAAGTCATATAGTAAAAAGAAAAAAACCTTCATATCTTGTGCTTTTATTATCATAATAACATGTTCTACAACTTTAAAGATTTAAAAGATGTTTATTTAGTAAAAAACAAATATACTTTCCACTGTAGTGAATCGGCATCCTACTACTATAAAAATTTATAATAAGTTCCGACTATGATACTTAGTTTATGCCCTTTAACTGCGAACCACCCCTTAATTGATTTTCATAACCCGGCAGGGTCAAAATTCGAAACTTGTAAGAAAAATTTTAATAACCTGGTGGGTTTTAAAAAAAATTTTATAAAAGATTTTATATATGAAATTTTTTAAAAAAAGCCGGACGACTGGGCCTGTTTAAAAATTTCATGTTATCGTTTATGAAAAACCAAGAAATTAAGTTTGTGTGGCTTAAAATAAAAATTCAACTCATTTGTTTTTTATTAAAAATTTCAAGGTACGTAGTAGCTTTTTATAGATGTTCTAAAACCTTGCCCGATCAATTTTTAAGATCTACAGTGCATACAAGACAGTTACACGAGCCTGTTTCAAATTTCAAATATGTATAATATGTATCCGGCCTTAAGATTTTAAGTTCGGAGCCAATAAAATCACAGTATTTTGTTACACGAATTTTGTAAAAACAAACCACGATAATTAGTAACTAAATTGTAAAACTTTTTAATATTTAAAATTTTTGAAAAATTTAATCGTTATTAGATTTGTTTAAGTCTAATCTATTAAATAACGATGAGTTTTTAAAAAAAGTATTAGCATTATTAATACATAGAATATTGCAAGGATGCATATGATTACGATTTTACTGCCTATTTGGAATTCATTCAGAATATCCAAATTCAACAGATATTACCGCATAACGATAATATTAAATTTACCGATTATAGACTTAACAATGTAATGCTTGGGTTAAGATAGCTTCGTATTAATGATGGTTTCACGCTTCTCAATTTTGTTTCACACACATATCGTTACACAGTAATACTAGTATGTACGTACATACATACGTACAGCGTTGGTATATCGATATAAATATCATAATAAAACGTGGACGTGAATATGATCATTGTAAGATGCGTGTTAGTGAGCAACGTTATGTACCAAAGAGAAAGGTTCGGGAGCCTTATTCTAAACAGGAGCTAGTTGGTAGAGGTGCTTATGGTTCTGTTTATAAAGGGTAAATATTCTTCTAGTTGCTACATTCTTTTTTAAGATTACAGCATTTCTTATCAACGGCTATTTTATTCTAGTATAAATAACAACACAAACCAAGTTGTGGCCATAAAAGTGCTAAATTTGGATACCGAAGAGGACGATGTTGGAGATATTATAAAAGAAATAAATTTACTTTCATTACTTAATAGTGAATCGCAAAATATTACTAGATATTATGGAAGTTTCCTTCATGGTACAAAGTTATGGATTATTATGGAATATGCAGCCGGTGGAAGTATTAGGACTTTAGTACGTATATTTCTATGATTAATTTTGTTGTGAAATTTTAGAGGTAATTGCTAAATCATACTTTATTATCTGTTAGTTGAAAGCTGGTGCAATAGAAGAAAGATATATATCTATTATTACGAGAGAGGTTTTGCTAGCAATAAGTTATTTGCATAAGTGCAAAATTATTCATCGTGATATAAAGGGTAATTCAAAATAATTTATTGCTAATTGTCAATAATACTTTAAATTTAAAATAATTATAAATTTTATACTATAGCGGCAAACATTTTGCTAACGGCCGAAGGAAAAGTGCAACTTTGCGATTTTGGCGTTGCTGGGCAGTTGACTGCCTCAAATGCAAAACGTACTTCGTTTGTTGGTACACCGTAAATATATGTGCCAATTAATTTTATCATTTAAAAAATGGTAATAAATTATGTACTGATTTCAATTTTTTTTATAATTAGATATTGGATGGCTCCCGAAGTAATCACCGAAGGTGCTGCATATGACACTAAGGTTAGGCCGATTTTTTATTTTTTTTTTTGCTGATGACTCTTATAGATAGCGCCTTATATTTTCTCTAATCTGATTGCGAATAATCAATTAACTTAGGCTGATATATGGTCATTAGGTATTACCGTATACGAAATCACAACCGGTAATCCACCGTATCATGATCAAAGTGCAATGAGAGCTATTCAACTTATCCCTAAGAATAGACCGGCTACACTTGAAGGCCCTTATTCTGCTCCATTAAAAGAGTTTGTAGCCATTTGTCTCAATGAAATATCTGAAGACGTATGTTATAATGTCTATTTAAGTTTGTTATAATCGCATATGACTAAGAATATATAATTATGTACACTTATAGCGTCCAACGGCAGATGAGTTGATGAAAACTAAATTCATAAGGAGTTCTTTAAAGCATCCAAATGGAATATTACGTGATCTCATTGCACGATTTGAACAATGGAAACAGACAACCGGTTATCGACAGTCTTTTTCTGACCCATACGGAACTCCATCGAGGTAACATATACGTGTGTTATTCGATTAATATTTGTAGACAATATAATCAACTTTCGATTTATTTAGTGAAAGCGACTCTTACGATTTTGAAGATGGTCAAAAAGAAGAGGAGGATGCATGGGTATTTGATGTAAGTTACTTTCTACGTTTTTATTCATGACCATTTATTAAGGATTAATCGAAATTTTTTTTATTTTTTATTTTTTTTACCAGACCATACAAAATACTGTAACACACCGAAAATCACGTTCTTTAGGGTCATTACATAATAGCGGTTCAGATCAGTTATCTCCTGTTATCGAAGACGAAGAGCATATGGGGTTAACGATAGATAATAAATTAAAAACTCAAGAAAATGAAGATGTAGACCGAACAGTTTTACCCAAAGACAACACCGTCAGATATGGACGAATTCTTACTGATGGGCTTCTTTCTCCTTCTACTCCGTTATTTCAACGCAAATATTCAGAATCTCATCATCCATTACTTCAACTTTTTCAAAATGAAGAAAAAACTCAAATAGACAATCTTTCGAAAGAATCATCACCAGCAGGTAGTTTTCGCAATCCAACAATAACTATACCTCCTATGAATATTATGTCACTGATGCCGCGCATGGAGGACTCACCTTCAACATCGAAGGATAATTTTCAATCTCATCATATGAATATAAGGTTAAAAGATGATGGGCTAGAAAGTAATTCTTTTGACGAAAAATCGAAATCATCTTTATCGACGTCAGATTTATCTACTACTGATTCATCATTTACCCGAATTGAGATTGTTGTTCCCACTGTTAATTCACAAACAACAATAGATTCTGCCCCAAAAATTATTTCATCTTCTCAACCAGAACCTAATGGCCTTCTGTCACCCACTTCTATATCAGTTGCAAAACATATTCCAAAAAGAGAAGAAAGTGGTTATTTTTCAATTAATCATGGACAATTAAACGATTTACCCGAAGATAAAATATCTAATTCTTCAGTATATGGTAATAATAGTTCAGGAGGATTGTTAACACCGCCACCAATGGGTCATATGATTTCTAAGTCAACCAGTGATGTATTTAATCATTCATATTCATCGTCACCAGGAAAAATGAACTATATTAAGCATAATCCTACAAGGCATGGAAGTTACGATAATCAAATGGACCCATCTGTAGGATTTCCGCTTCATAAACCAAGTAGTCAAGGAAAGGTGTATCCACCACAACCAGCACGTCGTGTAAGATCTGCAACAACGCTAAATGCAAGTCGTCAAACGAATGAGGATTTAGCTATAAAGTCTAGGTATCAACAAAAAGATAGTAAAGGTAGTGAAATAGAGATAGCCAATAAATTCGGTGGAAACTTAGGAGTAGGAATACCTAGACAGCGAGCCACAAGTGTTGGCAACGTGCTACGACCTTCAAAATCAAAAGTAAATATTTGCAACCATTGTACCATTTGATAGATTTGATAATACATTTGCCTAATTATTTGATCTTTTTTCTTTTTTTTTTAAAAAAAAATATATATATAGCTTTCGCTTGTTGAGGATACTTCATCATCAATACATTTGTTACCACCATCCCCATCGGCCGCCAAATTCCTTAACAATTCAAGTTCATCTTCTCAAGGATCACCCACAAGACCAGTATTTCCCAGTCAATCATCAATAATATTAAATACAGGACCTGAGCTTCGTCCATTAAAGATGGATAATTATCGGGGTACTAGTGAAGTTTATGAGGACTTAACAAAAACTACTGATGATCTTTTACAATGGATGACACTTTTGGAAGCTGGTATTAATCAGCTTATGACAAGATTTTGAACTTAAACTGATATTTTATCACTTTCAATTAATATTTGGGAAAGAATTTAACCATTGAATCAAGGAAATTTTGAATTGAATAACTTAATTATTTGAATACATTAAGTATTTGAAGTGATTATTTTTGCGTTAGCATAAATTTTTTTATTGTTTATATCAAACATAATACGAGTATAATTTTTAAAATTCCTGAGGAATTTTACAATGTAAAAACAAAACATGACTTTAAGTAAAAGTAAGAAATAAAAAAAAAGAATAAAAATACAAATAAAATCAGTTGTAATCTAATGCAATCAAATAAATTTTACTGTTTTGAATTTTTTGTACAATCAATATGACATCCATAAAAATATAGGTAACTAAAGATAATACTTGTTAAATTAAAATGGATCCATTATTAGAGCATGGCCACTTTGCGATACGTTCGTTACATGATGTCCGACGATAATCATCCGGCACCAAAATGTATCCAAATTCCAAGCCCATATTGGTGGAGACCGCCTAGGGCAGTAAAATAACGATTGAGGACAAAAGGGCGATCTGAAATATTACCAACCTGAAATAGATCGTATTCAGTGCTATGTTTTATTGATAAAAATTATATTCTACTCTAATTTCTATTGCTCTATTCTATTGTTCTATTTATTTATTGCTATATTAATATCTAATTATGTTTTATTGACCAAATTTTTATTCTATTCTAAATTCTATTGCTCTGTTCTATTGTTCTATTCATCTATTGCTACCAACACTGATCGTGTTTATGCCGTGATACTTTCTGATGAAACAAAAGTAGTGTGGGAAAAATTCATTTTAAAAGTATTAGAATAGCGAAGGAGGTTTAAGGAAAAAGGGGCTAAAGAGGGAAAACTATGTTAATTACTGGGTGAAAAAAATCCAAGTTCGTGTCCTAGGTCTTTTAGAAATAAATCAGTATTTCATGTCCCATATTGTCATACTCGCAAATTTGCCTCTATAAATATCGGATAACTGGAATCGTATTGTTCTTTTTGTTGGTGATAGTCCTTCGTATCCTCGATAGTTGCAAGCAGTGTTGTCACGTCTACTATGTCTAAGACTTTTTTAGAAATGTCCAATGTCCAAATGTCCAAGAATGTCCACAACATATACAAACTTTAAAAATTAAATATGTTAATTTTAAAAATATATGTTTACATATTTTTTATAGTGTATATTTTTTATTTAGAATAAAATTTTGAGTAATTTTAATTTCAAAAATGTCCAAAAATGTCCTCCCGTGCCAACACTGGTCGCAAGAGCTGCTTATGGTTGTCACTCAATTCCCCGAAAGTTAGCTCATCGACAGACATAGGGTTAGCGTTTGATTAGTTGCAGGAAATAACCTTCGGGAATCTTATTGTAACCACATGTGGTCGAAACTATTTCGGTTTATTCGAAGCTAATTACAACATACATTATATTAGTTTCGACTCAAGCCGAAATTAAACCTGTTAAAAAAAAGAATAAATAATAAAGTACCTACATTTATCATTTATAATTTATTTAAGCTTAGGGTTTAGGTAAGGCGTTGAACATTTTTTACTTAGAGCATTACTCAGCTAGTTTTGAACCACTGATCTGTTTTTAGTGAATATTACTTTACACGAATCAATAATTTTTTAAAAAAATTTTTCAAGCTTATTCAAAATTAACTCTGAACCATTTTTTACTTAATAAAGTTTTTACAGTATAGTCTTTTAAAGTTTATATTTTCTTATAATTTAATATGGATTTTAATATAAAAATCAATCTTCCGCAAAACTTATTTTTTGTTAATTTGATCCCTTTTCTCAACACCTAGTTCATATTATCTGAGAAAACATGTAATTGGAGATTAAATACTTTGTCGATGAACATTCCAATAAACTTTGTATTATCCAGCATTATCTTAGTTTCATGGAACACCAATTATCCGCAAGTCAGGCGTACATTTATTTCTGCAAGTGATAAAATCCCGAAAGATTCTTATATCGATGGTAACTCTAATAAGTCAAATTTCTTGCAGAATTTAGACCTCTTGTGATATAGGTGACGCTATTAATATTGTAGTTGCACGAAAAAACGTTCATGGGCATTATCTCGAGACAGGCAATTTAAATATTTTAAAAAAACCAAGTTATATCCCCATTCAGTTAAATTAATTATTAGCTCTCTTTAAATTGCATGTTTCAAAATAACTATAATTGTTATTTCGTGCAAATACGATAAATGATTATCAACCAACAAGAGAACAGATTTCAGAAGTCTAATCCTAGTTCTAAAGTCGTGACTCTCGTGTATTTACCATATTATTAACGTAAATAAATTGTTGTTTTGTTTCTTTTTTGGGGTTGTAACACTTGTAGTGGCTCTTAAAATTAAATAACGATAAGTTTTTATCATCACGTGATTATCATCTCTGCCCACTTATTTAATATAACGGTAAGCCTGCTATCGCTAATCTTTAGAAATGAATATGTAAAAAGATGAACCATACATGCGCGCTATGAAGTTTTCCGAAAACATTGTGTGAAAAGTGCTTTTAGCCAGTGTCAACAGTAACACTTTTTTTTTTGAATCGTGCAATCTTATTGGCTTGATGCCAGTGACAAATAGAAAATTCACAATTGCTATATATTAATCCGCTTGCGGATGATAGGGTAGATTGAGTTTCTCTGACCACTAACGTACAAAATGTATCTTTTTTAGAAAGCAAGCGATACAAGCAAATCAAATCTTTTTTTTAAATAACGATTAAATTGTTAAAATTATTCTTTCGCTTCAGTTACTCTTTTGTACTACTTAACGTTAGGTAGTGATGCTCAAATACAAACGTAAAATATTTATGTGTGATAACAAGATAATTCTTTTATTAATAATTTCTTCAATTGATTTGTAACAAACAAAATTCGATTTCCAATATCAACAATGGAACAAAAAACTAACTTATGCAAAATCAATATCGTTTTGGAGTTGAAAGGATTCAAAAGGAAATTAGAATACCAATGAACCAAGAACAACGATTATAAAGAAACGAAACCCACAATAAACAATTTTCAGTCATCATCATAAGATCTAATGGAAAGAAAATATTTATCATGAGAATATTGATGTTACAATTTAAATATACATAATTTATATAAGTTTACCTCGGATAGGACCAACGATCGGTATCGAAAGGATGTAATGTCTCCACTTCAAGTGTCAAAAGCTCTTTGAGAGAATCCAAAAATTCCGGTGGAAAATTGGAACTTTTTATAATGTACTCTTTATTACTTCCGTCGTATTGTAATATTTTTAGTGGGAATTGTTTTCTTCGGACAAATTCACATACAACTATGAGATGAAATTTATTAATTCCACATGGTTGATTTAATCCAAGTATCGTTATTGGTGCAATACATCCTTTGAAAAATTTCATGACGTCATCCGGGGTGGCTATGTATTCTGTATGTAAGTGTTGCAAGAATATCGGAAGTGATGGTCCTAATCGTGCGTAAAAGTCATGATGATAGGTTGAGACAAATCTCTTTGACACATGACAAAACGCCAAATATTCTAAATTTTGAAGATCTTGTAATAATTCAATTGAATCATAAGGTTGTGATGTGATTCCCAAAACAAGGTGACGAAGCTGACGGCAACGTGGTGATAACGTTGATAACACATCTAATGGTGCAATGTCCAATATTAAAGTAGTCAATGTAGTGCTTGCAGCGGAAAAAACTAATCGTAGATTTTCAGGGTGAATAATGTTGTTTTTGCAAAAAAATTGTGTAATGTGTAAGGAACTTAAATCCAAATTAAGAGGTTGATCATGTTGCTTACAGCCAATGAGCACAAGTTTGCTTAGCACTTTGCAAGTGGATAAAATATGAAAGAAAGTGTTGGGAAGGCTCGTGTGAAATATGTCCATCTCTTCCAAAGAAGTATTACTTTGAAGGGCAGTCAAGAGTTTGTCGATTAACAGAACATTATTTCCAGTAGAAAAGTGAACTTTGATAAGCTGATCTTGAGCTTTTACTAGTTTTGGTAAAAATTCATGAAATGATTGTGATTCTTCACCCACACGAATATATAAGGATCTAATTTCGTGACAACGTGATGCCCAAATTTTTATGAGATACGAAAGATTATGCAGGTCAATTAAATTTGTTATACGTGAATTATAGTCCACCCGCGCGATATGAAGTTCGCTGATTCGTTGAACACACCGAACATAAGCCCACGGCGTTATATCTTGAAGAACACTGATCCACGGAGAATCTTTGATCGCGATTTTATTTAGAAAACAGTTGACAAACACCACTCGAAGAATTTCAGCTGACAAGTGAGCACAAAATACTATCAATGGATTACCAGGAAACGGTGAATTAACTTCAACAGTTGCGTATCTTGTTATCCAACGTGATATACCTCGACTCAACTGGTCCAATTTAAGTACTTTTATAAATGACGGATAATTGAAATGTGGTTGGGGAGCAGTTGGCAAAATAATTCCGTAACGGATAAGATGCGGTTTCGATACATTTGGGAGGCAACTCACCAAAGTATTGACAAGCGCGGTAACTTGTCGCGTACTTAAATTTTCGTCAAAAGGATCTGACCATAATAACATCACTGCATGGGTTACCAAAACGCGATTTACCAAAGCACAAGAATGTAAAGTTAGTCTATCATTTTTAAAGTTTTTTAATATAAGACACCATATATCTAATGACAAAGGTGGGGCCATTTGAGATGGAGAGAGTGTAAACCCTATCATTTACAAGAATGGAACATTTTTATAGTGAACCAAGATTATCAAACAATTATCAAACGTGACGTAAGATATAATGAATGCGCTTGTCAACAATACAACAATCAAAACTCCGGAATTATCATAAATTAACGGTAATACGATTAATACGATTCACAATAATATTAATATTATTAAAATTTATAAAAAAAAAACGAAAAATTTTATTAAAATGATTTTTTTTGATTAATTTTTATTTATTTCTTTATAATATATATATATTGATACACGTATACATATCAATGTATCGATATCGATATATCAAATGTCGATATCGTGTATCGATATTTAGGAATTTAAAAATATATCACATTTGTAAATTAATGCCATAATTCATCTACTTCTAAATTATTCGATATCTGTAACATTGCCAGCTTATAAACTTTTTTATATTGTTCTATTGGGCCACCAATTCTAAGCCAATCTAACTTTAAAGCATCCCTGATCAATTTTCTAACAAATAACTCACGTTCTACTAGATCAGTTGCCATTCTCCTCCAATCTTCCACAGCATTAGATAGCGTAGACTTCATTCCTTGAATTGATGAATCAATAAATTCTTCATCTAATTCAAAAAGATAAGAATTATAATCGTTTATTATTTTATCTTCGTATATGGTTTTATTTATTAAAACATCATTTAAATCCCCCATATCGATATCAGAACTGATCACTGGTGTACCAAACAACAATGCTTCCGTTGCAACTGCACCAAGATCTTCTGATGGGTCTGGAATATATTGAATATCGGCAGCCGCATAAAGATGAACACCCCATTTTTTACGAACTTCAGGTTCATAAATAATAATCAAGTGATCGGGATAATTTTCTATCATTTTTTTTAATTTTACAACTGGGTAATTGTTTCGTTGTCCCATTATCACAAATTTGGCATTCAAAGCTGCCAGAGTACTTGTCGCTTCCACAAAAAATTGAAATCCTGTCACTTGAAATTTTCCATCGAATAAAACCAACGGACGTTCAAGATCTTCTTCATTCAGAAACCCTTCGCTAATCAAATATTTCTTAGCGTTGAGTTTTGATACAGCTATTAAATCTTTTGGCGAAATATTTAAGTTATTGTCATAAAAATCCAATGGATCTAAAATATCAAGGTTTTCTGGAAAAATAGCATTGCTTTCTTCGAGCATCTTATTTTTAAAAGGATTGGGCTCCGTGACATCAAATCCATACGATATACCAATCCAACGTCCTATTTTTGCCTTATTAAGAATGTTTGGTAATACGAGTTCTTTCAGATCAAAATCCAGTGGACCTTCTACAATTTCACGAGCTGTCTCTTCTGACATAAATGTAACCACCTGTGATTTATCAACCGCAAGCGAAGATACAAATAACCTATTATCACGAATATACTGTGAATTTTCATGTCCAAATTGATCCATATCTTGTACCTCCAAGAACTTATTCACATCTCTGAGATCATATGAATGAAGGTGATCGTCATAATAATTTTGCAATGTGTAAACTATTGATGGTTCTTTTCTTTTAAAATTTGCCTGTTCATTTGATATTTTTAAAAATTCAATGACCATAGCATTTGTCGTACCGTGTATGTGTACTACATCTACACCACGACTTTCACGTTTAGCAAAAAGGGGAGTATCGAGCATAGTATTCCTGTAAGTTATGAATTCTGCTGCGGCTTTACAAAAATATAAATCTTTCCATTCTAAAGGCAGCGACTTTTTTGGAGTGTATAAATTATCAGCAACATCTATTTTGAATGATTGATTTAATGGTGGCATATTTGATGGAGATCCGATCATAAAAACATTAATTGTCCCTTGTGAATTATTTCTTTCTACCTTTGACAAGAATTTGAAAGTTGTAAAACGGGCAACTTTCCATTCACCATTGGTATCTCGAACTTTAACACCTAGTTGAATATATTTAGTGGCTTTATATTTCTGTTTCAAGAAGGAGTAATATGGTAAAATTACGTTGACATTCATTGAACTGTTAACAGCCTGAGCTTTTGCAAGGCCTGTGACAATTTTACCCAGGCTTCCTTCTGTAGCCGCCCCAAATTCTTTAGATACATGATAAATCGCGGTTCCGGGTGGTAATTCTGGTGTTACATTCGAATCGATTCCCAGATATTGGACTGGCATGTAAATTCGCTTATCTAAATGATTAATACATTACTATTCTATGTATTTGCTATCGATAATGATTAACAAGAAATCTCGAAAAAACCTTACCAACAAAATGCTCTGACTCTGTTGGTTGTGTTATGTTCTTGGTTGATGTGATTCCACTAGTCATCAAGTATATGACAAATATTATACCTATTATGGACAAATAACCCCAACTTTTATTATCGAAATAGTGAGCAAAAAAAAAAATCTTATAGATCCTTCTTTTTAGTGTATTCCAAGTCCCATTATTCATATGCTTGTGTTTTGAATAATAACCATTATAACTTGTAACATGAGTGTACTTTATTGGTTGCCTATTGAACGACGATATAGGTAAGTGACCATGATTCGAATTTAATGGAATATTTTGGTCAAATTGTGAACGAAGTCTCGGTTTTGTATACATTTTATATTAAAATATATTTGTATTATGATCAAAAAGTATGATGGATTCGAATTTTGTTTTTTGGAAAATGGGATTATCGAGAGTAAGTAGAAAAGATTGTCAATCTTAACAAAGGTTCATTTTGATCAAAATGAAAGGGATAGAAAGGATGTTAATTCTCGAATTGAATTGAAGACTGCTTTTAATTCTGATTCGTTTCATGTAATAAACAGTGTTACCAAAATATAACTTGTTGACTATATGCGTCGCAACAATTTATAACCGAATATGTAATACGTATCAACAACATTGTTTAACAATCTAGGATATCCTAATATATATGAGAAATGCCGAGATAAAATTTATGAATTTTTTTTTTAATAAGAATGAAATTTGGGTACGTAGTGTTATTTAACTAATGTGTATTATACGCTAATGAGGATTAAGCCAAGCTAAATGGAAATTTTGAATTTTAGCATGCCATAATATGTGATCAAACTTTTTTTTTCATGTATTTATATATATATTTATTTAGTTATTAACGTTTATTAGCTGACATAAAATTTAAATATGCGATTTTAGAATATTATGTAAGAATTTTACTTTAGTTTTTAATAGCTAATTAATGTTACATAACCATGAGCAAAGAGACAAGTAACAAACTAATTAATCGGTAACATTTTTATGCAAAAAAAGTTTTAGAGAAAATTGGTTTGTAACTTCATAGAATAACATGAACTCTATAGTTATTATCCCGATTTTAATAAAAAAACTTTGTTTTAAAAGGTTTATAGACAACTGGAAATCTTTATTGAAATTAGGTAACTGTGTAGAACTGAACTTACTATGACCAATTCACTGGTCAGTTTTTGAGTTCTTTGTAATAATAAAAACAACCTTGGCTAAAAAAAAAATCAACCTTGCTAAATAAAGATCAATAATACATGGTTCTCCATCATCAGTATCGAGATACATTTTGTCATAGAAGTGGTGTATCAAAAAAATTATACAAGTGATTCTTATTATAGTGAACTCTCGATATAAGTATAATGAAGAACATTTTATACGAAACTCTTCTCGATACAGTAAATTCACCCAAAATTTACTAATAGCCTCTTGATATAGTGAAGACAATTTCACAGCCTGATCATTTCACTATAGCGAGAGTCACTTGTATTTTCTTGCATATTTACAATTCATTCTTTATTATTATTGCTTTAAAACTTGCTAGTGTATGGCCCGCTTCTTTGTTACCTTTGCCCTGACTATTTAAGGGGTGGTCAGTAAAAACACAAGCTAATTGTTTTTACGTTAAAATTTTTCTTAAGCCTCAAACATGAATGATTGACAACAATGTATTTTAGCATATTCGTAGAATTAAAATAAATACGTATCAAATTTGGATACAAATGATTTATGTTTAAAGTTTAAAAAAATTTAATATAAGAAATTTGTGATTTTCATAGCAAAGATAATGAAGGTTGCTATTTATCACAGAGATACACTAGTATATGTTGAATTTACTAATTAAAAATTACAAAATTTTAATTTATAGTTATCTGTTATAAATAAATATAGGTTTATTAATACGCACTGTAAAAAGGTATTAAATTTTTATAATTGAGGCAAATTAAATTTTAAAATATTTAATAATTAAAAAAAACAAATATAATGTATTAAGTAACTTTCAAATAAAAAATGCTAGTTAAGTCAAAAGAAATAAAAGGTGTTCATTAATTTTTTTAAAATAGAAATATGAGTAAAACTAGAGTTGAGAAAGACAAAAACATTTATTATCGAATTTGATTAAAGAAAAGTGTTAATAGTATTAAAGGAATAAACGTAAGATAAGGCCATGCAAATGTTTCATAAATTCTTTGCCGATTCGACAAGTTTTGATACATCCGAATCAAAAGTTTAATATTCGGCTGGTCAGATTTTCCAGAATTTATGAAAACAACTGTAATTGGTTTTCATAACGCGGCCGGGTCAAAATTTAATTCCTGGAACACCTGATAAAAATTGACTGAATGATGTTCCGGCCGATTCTACGTATTAAGTTTGTGATTTCGCCATGGTCCTTATAATAAAAACCATATATTCTTGTATCATGATTGTTTTACAGATAACTATGACAGTAATGTCAACATTATTAAATTTTTCGTTCGAATGCTTGTCCAACATGTTTGGTGTCCAGCTTGCACGAAAATTTATGGAAAAGGCAACTCTTATTAACCAATAGAACCTTAGCAAGAAATATTAAAAAAGCTCTGGATACAAGTTAATCAACATATATATTACCAAATATTAAAGACGGTGTATAAGTTTATATAAAAAATATTACTTTTTTTATTTATATATCCAGCTTGATTTAGCAGTCCTTCAAATTGTTGTAAAACTAATTTTACGTCTAATCTAAG